AAAAAAAAAATTATTTTCATAATTTATTACTTATTAAATTGTTGCGCTGGCCAATTATTATCCGGTCGATGTTGTGCTTTCCCATGTGAAATGTTAACTCGAAGTAAATCAATGCACAAATCATCGTTATATTTATGGCCGCAATCTATAGCCCAGTCCAAGCGCTGTCGTATTGAAACTAATAGATATATTAAATACTGAGCTGCAGTAAGCGATCTAATAAATAATCGCTCACCAGCTAACCATGTCAGAGCCCAACCAAGACCTTTAATAAAAAAATCCCATTGGTTCTAAATTTTTCTCAGTATAAATTATATATTAAACAAAAAAATAGGGATTCAGATTGATGAAATTATTATCAAATTTATTTATTTTTTTGATAAAAACGAAGATCAAAATTCGAGTGATTTTTATTTCAAAGTTTTAATTCAGGCTAGAAACAACAATTACGTGAGTGGTGGACACAATCACTAGATTACGGTGAGATTTTCAAAAACTAATTTCATTACTGTTGCAACTACTATATCAGTGACATTTTAGTAGCACATCTCAAAGCACTTTTTTATGATAACGAAATTTCTGATTTCATCCATCAAATTATGATCATCATGTCTCTGAGTGGTTTTTGGATCTGTAGCATTTTTTTGTTGCATTAATTGGTGGTGAAAACGATCCTCATTATTTATTCTAACACTTTTTCTAACAGTTATTTTCACGCATAAAAACCGATTTTAAGGGTCACTGAATTTATTATTAGATGAATTTATTCTGTGCCCGACAGCTTAAAATCTTAATCTAGCTTACAGTCTTATCAAATCAGGTGAAGGAACTTTTTATGATTTGGAAAATATAAATAAACTTTCATAACTGCATCCGCAGAAGCTAATATTACTAGAAGAAATAAGAACAGCAATATTTGAGTTATCATATTAATAACTCAAAAGTTCTTAGGAATAAATAAAGATTAACAAAAAGGGTTTAAAAATTTTCAACTTATCCTATACAAGTTTAAAAAACAAAACGTGTTCATAATTAATTTTTAAATACTGCAGCAATTTTAATTTCAAAATTAGTAAAACAGAGGCAAAATTCAATAAAAGTGCATAATTGCTCAATATGATGAAAAAAATGCTCCATGTTAAGATATTGTTTTCAGTTATGTGCAGCAATTATCTGGATGACAGTTGCAATCATTTTTCACCTCATTCTTCTTTTTCAGATCATATTTTACTACTTTAAAGTATGGCATTTCAAGAAATATCCAGATATTTCTTTCCCTCACATACTTATCTAGCGATGGCACGAAACTATTGCTACTATTATAGCTTTTCTAACCAGAGTAACAAACTATAATTTATTACATTCTTTTTGTGCTGTCAAACATTCAATGCATATTTCCTTAATCAAAAAAAAAATCAGAATTATTCATATTACACTACTGTCTTTCGAAATCTTCATTCGATTATAAAATATTTATGATAAAATTCAGGCTTTTCTTTGCAGAAAATGATTATTCTTCAATAACCAATTTTTACTTGAAAAAATTAATTTTTTTTAAATTCTCGATGTTATTTTATCTTACTTTATTTCTATTTTTCTTTATTAAGTTCTTTATAAATCACTATTATTTACTCAAACGACCGTAACATCAATTAAAAAGTACACATGTCAAATTGATTGTTGCATATTTGAGATATTCGAGCAAATTTGATTTAAATAGAAAATAATTTAGCGATTGCCACATCTCATTACTGGAGGAAATTACATAAAATCCAATCTTCTGCTAGAGCATAAACTGAAACTAGCAATAATTACAAGTATTCAGTTCTACTGAGGACAAAAATATCCATTTTCTTAAAATTCGCATCTGAAAAAATGAGTAAAGAAGTTCAGCTTACCTGAAGCAACAGGTGCTATTCGACTGAATGTTAAAACAGGTCCAGCACCCGAAACATATCCCAAATTAATGAGTAAATTAGTTGCTGGTAGTGTAAATAGCAAAAAAACCAGTGGCCAAGCTAATAAACATTGCGACAAAAGTTGACTAAACGGCGCACCCGCTAATGTCGCAAGACTATAGGCATCAACTGCATCGGATGATAGATACATTGTAGTGATAATGATAGCGATTACGATTACTAGGAATGATAATTAGAAAATAACACGATTACCATTTCAAATCATGACTTTTCATGCTGACAATACTTACAAACGTTGCTAGATATATTCACTTCACAAGCAATCACAACTAATACCGATAGGAGGTAGATCGAGTAGTTTTTCAATGTAGTTGCTGCAAAAAATGAAAGTAACATTCTTACAATAATAGTAGCTAAAATCTTAAAGAACAAGACCAAATGATAGTCTGCATTGATGCTTTTTTTAGCATTATCGCAAAACGAAATTAATGGGTGAGAGAGGGAAGAAAGAAGAAATTGACCATAGTCGAAATACAGTGCAAAGATTCAACTACTCTCTGTATGTTCAAAAAGTGACTAGAAAAATGCCATTTTCATTATGCAAACAGATACGTACGTGAGTCAGCAACGATCATAATACGAAGTAATCTTTGGAAGTAAAGTATTCAGCAACCCGTACGAGTATCAAAGTGCAGAAGTTGATTATAATTACTTACAAAATAATTACTTTATGTAAAATAATAATTAACCGAAAATATGTAATTGATATTTACCTTTCAAATATAGTGAGTGATTAGCATGATAAAAATAATGATTAACGGAGACAAAGTCATAGATTATTCAATAACGACTGGCGTTACAGTAAAAATGATGTGACATTGCTATTAGCCGATTCATAATTATCTAGCAACCAAAATCTACCAAATTTTGAAGCAAAGTATCGAGTACAAAACAGAGTTTTATTTAATTACTATGCTAATCATACTAGCAGTATCGTTCTGATAGTACCTCTCTCATAATAAATGCAAATTTAAAAAGCACAGAAATTATTGGAATATGAGAAAGTCAAAAAATTACCTGTGAAATACAAAAGTAATCGGCACAATGAAGAAATAAGATAAGTGGCAAGAAAATTCGAGGTTTAATAAAATTAAAAAACTGCGCGAAATATGATACAGTGTGGACGATAACGGAAGCCAGCTTTTAAGAAGAAATCAACAAAAGTAAGCGTTGCCTGCAAATTGTATGGTAGCTCCTTACGATAAATCCTAAAGGGTTGAGTAATAACTGTTACAGTCGCTACCCACTATCAATAATAGGAGAGTGCGAATTTCACTTAAAATTAATATTATTTCAACATTAACATCTTTATGAGTGAAATAATAATAATAATATTAATAATAATAATAATAATAATAATAGTGATAGTAATAATAATAATAATAATGACATAATCGTAATCACAATGATCTTAATCATAATAACAGTGAGGAGAAGAATAAGAAAGAGAACAGTAATATAAATGATGAGATGGTAAGAAACTGGTAGACTGATGATTGATTATGACGCAATTGATAGTGATTGCAAGGATGAAGACGACAAAGAGAGCAATATAATAAGCAGTGTAAAGATGAATAGCAGATGTGAAGAGCGGCGCATAGCAGGTGAGAATGGGACAGGTGAGAATAATGCAAATGCAATGAGAGAAATGTTGCTGGCAGGTATTGATCGTTAGTGAAATTCCCGAAGCACCCTTCTGCATGCACACAAACTGAGATAACAATAATTACTGCTTCAAAGACGAGTTTCAAGGTTGTCCCTTGTTGTAGTCATTATTTCTTTATGATTTTTTTTTCATTGCAAATTAATTTAAAGTTAGTTGAAATTTATCCCATTTCATTTTTGATATTTCATTATTAGTTAGCTTTCAATCATTATTACTGGCGACAAGCTAATTTTTAATTTTATCCACCAATTTTTCAATCAAAATAGTTAATATATTCGTTACTGTATCGCGTAAATGAAACAATATCAAATTATTGTGCTTATTATTATCGGATAAATAATCTCAGTATTAATTGACTAATGTCTGATAATATAAATCGATTTGTTTTCACTGTAAATCAGATTTTAAATTAGCTGAAGTGAGCATTAATTTATGACAAGCAAGCAACAGAGATTACATATAATTCAGTTATTATTCGAATATTCAACTATTTCAAATCTTTTATCACCAAAATCTTTAGGCAGTTAATTGCCATTTTTCACAATATATTTAAAAGTAATAATTTATTGAAAATTTCGACCTTGGTTATCAAAAGTTTGAGTATTCTTGGTTGTGTCCCGACCTTATGCAATCTGAGATATATGTCTGACTGTTGTCACCGAATAAAACAAATGACAGTTAAACAATGCAAGACAAAATGTAAAATAGTCGTTAAAAAGATTCTGTTAAAAAACTCCAAGTGCTGGGAAGGTGTAAAAGTCAAAGCTGAAAGGCACTTAACGTGCAGGTTTCACAGAAGTAGTAGTTCTTTTTGATAATATTCTGAAATAATAATGCTTATAATATTGCTACCGAAAACATACAAACGCATTTTTGTTCATTTTTATGAACCCAAATCAGACTACAGATTAGAGCAGTATGTCTGTTTTGTAAAATATGACAAAAAAGTTATGACAAAAATTATTAAGAAACTGAAAATTAAAATTTATTCATGTATTAAATCCTTATTTTATGTCAAATGGGCTGTAGCTAAGCAATGCTTTTTTTTACCTATGCATACCACATACCGTCTTCTGTGCTAATACCAAAATTAGCAACAAATTTCAGTTCATTGAAGCTAATCCAAATCAAATCTACCATTCAATACAAGCTTAAAAGTTTGAAATTATCCTTGCTTTTTGGTCCGTGCTTCTAAATTTTAGAAACGGTTCACTGCAGAGAGCACTCGAGAAGTTTATGAGATAGTTCCTAACATCAATAAGATCTGTCTTTCATAAGTTTTAGAAAGCAAGATAATCGTACAATAGCAAAAAGTATCACATCACAACAAAACATTTTTTATAACAAATATTAGATGATCATTTTCATTTTTATAAGAAATATTTATGCTAAAAGACACTTATGCAAATTTTCTATTAGTTCAGCGTTAAAGATAAAAGGTCCACATAATGTAATGCACAAGGAGCTATCTTTGTTCAATGTGAAAACTTTATTTAGAACAATTAAAAGTTGACTGAAAATTGAAACTTTTAAAGTAGATCATTAATCCTTCACAATAATTCCTGCATTTCTGTGTTTCTTAATTTCAATCCATTAAAACAAAATGAATATTCAAAAAAAATTATGAGGGCAATATCACACTTCAGCTTGTGGAGTAATGTTTCCGTATGGTAGCCAAGTTGATGAACCAGTAACTGAATAAAGTTTATTTCTCCGCATCTTATACAGCTTTGCATGATGGACTTTCTTTGCTATTCGCTATACAAGAGCGCCTTCTGGGCTGCTAATACGTTTTCGATAATAGGATTTTCTGCGAGGTTGTACCTACTCTTTAAATAGGGTACGATAATTGCCTAGTACGTGTTATGAACTTCTGTTTTAAAATCGCTGCCCTCCAGGTAGCTAAGGACGCAGTTTCTACAAGAACATTGTATAATTGGAGAAGCATAAGCTCACTCTTCTGCTCAACATTTTAAAATCCACGTCCTTGCTCGTCCCTTGGCAGGTCCAGTCTTTCCAAGCATGCACATTGCCCATGAATCCCGTATTTGAAGTCTTCTAGCTTCAGCCTGAGCAGCCCAATGTAATGGCTTGATAAATTTACGGCATACTCATTCATTGCCTTGATAAAGTTCTTGTAGTGTGGTTTTGGCTAGTCACTCAATTCTCACTAAAATCTCTGCTCGGACTTTATTGTAGCTTTCTCGAGTAGGTGCACTGGTCCTGTCTTCTACCATTTCATGCTATTTGTACCCATGAATTCCTTCCAATAACGCCGCCTTATCAGCACTTACTTCAATATTAGCAGCTGACTTTTCTTGATTCATCTCTAAGCCATCAAACTTATGGCGTGCTCATTTTTTTGAATTTGTTCGGCCATAGATTTCATGATATCCTCATCGGTTTCAAAGAGCTTAAAATCACGAACAAATGATAAATGGTTCGCTATATACTTTTGTATCTCATATTGAGTCCACAACAATCCCTACTGTATTTTTTTCTCCATCATGATTTCATTTAAGTATAAAGATTCATCTTGGAGGTGATGCTTTTCAGAAACCTGCTAATCCACTCTGGGATGTTACGTTAATGCTCTTAATTAGATATTCATGATTAACATAATCAAACCGTTTTTGACGTAATACCAGGTAGTGTACAGCTGGGTACCCATGCTCTCTGCTAATCGCTAGGTTTAACAGTGTCTGTTTTTTTGCACCTTTAACCTGGGCAACCGTTTTTGATTGGTTACCTACAAGTAGCAACATTCAACTGCATGATATGTGCCATGCATTACGTTGTTAACTTGTAAAAATTCGACATACAAGTTATTGGCCTGAAGTCGCTACCTTTCGGAATTAGGTAGGTAGTCCCTTCAGCTTTAAAGTGGAAAACTATCATGCACTTCATGGTCTAGTCTGTCAATATGCTTAAAGTTTCATGACAGTCACGTTTAAGAGCAAGTATGAGATTCATCCTCCTCATACACTTCTTGGCCTTCCTTGAATCTTTACCTTCAAGTTTTTTACCGGCCCAAGTCCATTCTATAAGGTTGTGAAGGAAGTTAATCAAGCTCACTTTCTTTTCTATGCTTGCCTTCCACGTTGATGGCTTCTTTTCTCCTTGTCATGCTTTCCGGGTGATCACTGAATTTTCTAGCTTCTTCAGTACTTGGAAAATAATAGCACACAAAAACTTCTAGCTATACAAGAAACGATACAATGGCCATCCTTCTCTTGGCATTCTTCCGAAACAGTCAAGGATTTCTTTCAGCACTTTTCCTAATCACCTGCTCTGTGAAATCTCGATTACACAGACGAGCGCTTCGAGCGTGATTACTAGTACCTGGTTCAGGTTTCGCAAAGTGCTTTCTCACACTCTTACGGAGCTTCTTCGAACCGCATCTGTTCCCCTACTGTTTTCATTTATGACTGCAAATGCGGTTTTTCCCTTTTCACCCTTTATTT